CCAACAGTCGACTCAGGATGCTGAATCACTGACGCCGGACAGTGGTTGAACTTGCCTTGGAAGCTACAGTGCCAGTATGTGATCCCATTCCTGCACCGGTAAACACAATACAAGTAGCCCCGGCTGTCAAACAGTTTTTGCCCCTTCAACGACTTCAAAGGTCATCGACTGGTTGGTCCTCGATGGTTGGCTCTCTCAGAGACGATTTCTCGATTGGCACAGGTAACTCATATTGGATACTGGATGGAGGACTACTTGAGGCAGAGAACATTGTAACTTCCCTCACGGTTCCCAGCTCTGTTAATAAAAAACCCGCATGTAAAAAACCTAGTCTTTTAAGAAACTCCTGGCAGAAATTTGACATTCAAATTATGCCGATAAACAATAAATCCATACTTTTGGGTTTTGAAGACTGTAATTTTGTGTTATAAATTTGCAAATATAACTTTAATAACAATATAACCTTCTTTCTCTAAACGGCAAAACTAGCCAATAAAACGATAAAAACCTATACTAGCCAGTAAAGGTTGAGTAAAGTATGGGGCGATCGATGCTGACGTCATTGTCTACATTCTGCCTCAACCCAGATTTAAAGAATCTCAATATTTCATCTGTGAATTGCGATTTTCTCACAGGTATATTAAAAATATCTTTATTTGCATCTTAATCGTTTTCAGAAGTTTCGCAAGCAAAACCTTCAAAAAAGGTTCTATAGGTGGATCATTAAACCAAAAGGATCGAAATTCTAACCATTTCGTTAGTTCATGCTGATGTTGTTTACTCTCTTTGTTACAATATTCTAATTTAATACCTTTGAAATGAAAGAGAAAATAACACCTATCTTGCGCGCGATGATAATTAGCTGTTATTGTCAAGAAACTCGCAAGTATAAATGATTGAAAAGCAAATAACACTTACCTTATGCGGGCCACTGACACTTTTATTGTTAAATAAAATTTCAACAATATACCAAATAAGATCACACATGTGCCTTGCGCGTGCGAGCGTGCATCTTAATTATTTTGCGATTACTAGGATAAATGAAATAAATGTTTATGTTTGTTTTAAACATTTTGTGTCATAATTTGTTGGGTAAGAATCGACCAGAGGGTTGGGTACGAACTGATCGAAAAGTGGGTACAAAAGGTCTGAGCCTGTGTGCGAAAGATCCATGGTTACGAAACGACTGGATACCCGATCGCTGTTCACTATTATTTGAAAGCTTTCTAGGCAAAACAAAATCCGTAAGATAACTTCTTTTCCCTTGACACCACGACTGTATCAAACATTCCAAACCATAGGACAAGAAATACCATGAAGAATACGAGCACTTTGTAATGTTATTCGAGCGATGAGCCGGCGCGAGGGTTTTTAGGCGATGAAGGCCGAAGTCATTGTTTTACCGAAGCGTGATTGACAAAAGGTTTGCATTTTTCTAGGCATTAGCGTTATAGAAAACCCAAATAAGACACGACTTACCTCTTCTTCTTTCTCGGATCCTTTGTAGTTCGCTTCT